TCTATTTTTTTAATCTCTTATAAATAAAAAACTAAAGCCGGTAAATATATAAAATATTCATTTATTTTATTTAATTATTTGTGTTTTCATTTGAACTCATTTTCAGAAATGCTGATAAATTCAATGAACAGAATTTTTTCTTCTGGTTTTTTTTAAAGAATCATAAATAATAGAATATTAGGAAAGATCCAAATATGATTTAATGGAGATTAAATAAATAATTTTGACATTTTTTTCTTAATTCATTTAGTTATTAAACATCTAAAATGCTGGAAGTTATCATCCTCCAGTTTATCACATAGAAATGAACTTTTCTCATTTTATTTTTCCTCTTAGAAACAATAAAATGTTTTTTCAAAAAAATTATCACCAAAATTAAGAGAGGGGAATCATTTCTGAGAAGGAGCTGAATGAGAAGCAGTGATATCAGAACCTCAGGCTGGTTGTATTTTTATATTTTTCTACCTTTAGGTCATAGATATGCTTTAACGTTCCTCCTGATTAAATGAGTTAATTGACTGTGAATTCTGATTGGCCAGCATGAGTCAGCGTCTCACCTGCAGGTTGGTGTTCCTGCGGTGAGGACTGCACCTGTGCTTGAGCGGGTCACACCTGGACGAACAGTCGAAGAAGTTGCAGTCGTCGTCGCTGCTGCAGTTCTGCTCCAGGATGTCTCTCATCTTCGGCTCGAAGAACGCCATGTCCACGTCGATCGCCACCACCTGCAGTCCCACACAACAGCTGATTACGACAAATTATGAGGAAAAAAAAATTAAACCTCAAACATTTTTCCAGCGTCGTTGATAGAATAATGTGATTCTAAAATAAAATATGGAGGATTGAAAACAGTAAGAAGCTTTACTGAAACAGGATTAAGAAAATATTCTGATCTAAAATCAGGATCTGGTGAAAGATTTTATATATTAAACTAATATAAAATATACAGTATATATATCTGTGTATGATAATAAATTAACAGTTATTAGATGAATTAATATTATAATTATAATTAATCCTAATTTTGTGCGGACTGTAGGAATTGCCTACCTTTTTAATTACTGGATTAAAAAGATTTTTAATATATAGCTTTTTATTTGTAGTGAAATTAATAAAAACTATCTTTAAAATTATATAATTAAACTCACATCAAGAGAAAGAAGAAAAGGAACAAATTATATTAATAAAATGTGATTTTATAAAGATTTTATCTTTATATAAATTATTTATAGTGGAGATTTCTTTTTTAGATTATTGATTTTTTTTTGGTCTCCTTATATAAAAAAATATATTTACTATTTTTATTTATTTTAACATTTTTTTATTAATATGTACCTGATGAAACAAGATGCTAAAGAATCTCTGTTTGATTTGAAGCTTAGATTAAATT